TTTTCCTATTAGGAGCAATCGATCACGCCCTTTAACTGCAGTTTCATCTAGTTATTTGATATAGGCGACGGTGTGACTTCGTTTAATCACTTCGATCTTACAACTATTATTCAGAGATAGTTATAGATTGGTTCGTAGATCTTAAGTCTTACGGGAATTATATGCTTCCAGAGAGCGAAATGCCAATGCCTTGATCCATCTTTGTAGGCAAACCTCAGCCTTGTTAGAAAGCTTTTCGTTTACTTCATCTTACTGATAGTTTAAAAGCGTTCAAATAGTCAACATTTAATCATTTCTGCAGAACTGTCTGTAAGTTATGTATTGAGTAGTGCCAACGTAGGATTTGGCCAATAGATTGTAAAGTTCTCAGTTCAGTAGTCACTCAAGTTTTATCTCAACGTTTTTGTCATCTACAGTTGCGCAGATGGTAGCAGGCGAACAGCTCAATGCTTTCTCCCTTTCATGTTAGAATGGATTTTCTGCATTCAGACATCGTTATCAGGTTTTTCACCATTAGTCATCGAGTAATCGGGCTCGAATATTAGACATATTGGCCACACACGCACACTATGATATTTATGATTATGATAATTATGATTCTTAACGAATCTTAGATCTGTCGAGCATCATATGGCCCGCTCTACATGCTCAGTAAAGCAAATGACAAGCGTCACCTCCTGAGGCATCTGTGAAGACATGCAATGTTGTTCTACCAAATAGAATGATGCAGAGTCTGGTGCTAAAGTACCATGGGACTGTGCTCTGATTAAGTTACCCCAGGCTTCTAACAGCAGAGGGATGAAGCAGCGCTCTGAAGTGCAGTAATTATTAACGTAATAATGTAGTGATGCTTTGAACACGTATTTTTTATGTAGAATAAAAAATTAGGTTTAATGGTGGCAAAAGATGAGTCATATATCTCAGCGTAATAACGTATTTTTAATATTTAGTTACGCATAAGAGGTATCAGCTCTTATGAAACGATGGCTGTTTTTGAGCGATTGATCTAGTGAACATGATTCAAGAAGCGTCTGCAAATAAGTGCGTGGCGCCATTAAAACTGGTCTTGGAGGAAATTCATATAACTAATATAACCAGACATGTAGAAAAATGAATTAATTGCATAGGTAAGCTTTAAGTTCGCTTCTGCTTAAGGGTGCCTGTGTGCCGAGCGGCAGTGCTGGTTGTTGTCCGCTTCATTTCACTCTTAAGTAAATATACTGCAGACGTTTTCCTGTGGTCTTATTTGTCGATTTTCCACTTTGAAGTCTCAAATCTACATCAAAACTGTATCGAGTAAATACTTGAATCCGAACCATGACTGTGAACAGTGCGTGAATCACTTTTTTTTAACAGATGCGGTAAGAATGACTGTTGAGTGCGTAGAGGTAAGTGAGGATTTTGAAACCAAGATTAAGTAACGGCTAGTTGCCGCTTCAAATCAGTTAAGATACGATCCGAGGATCAGTAGCTCTGACTCACCAGTTACTGCTATCATCTCAATGAAATGCTGTAGTCGACTTTAAATCGAACTGCGCGCAGCAATAGCAATGGGACCAGTGTATGTAATGTAAGATATAATAGCAACTTTCCACATAACTCTGAACTCTGTTTTCCAGAAACAGTTCGATATATGA